TGTGTGGTGGGGGGGCATACAGGGCGGCTTTTGACAATAAGAAAACAGTTGTTCAGCTGATGAAAGGAGCCCCACAGAGCTGGGGAAGAGGACCAGAGAGTTGTCCCTGCTGGGCTGTCTCAGACATTGGGGGCATGACTAGCATCTGCTTTGGCCAGGCCCCCTGGGACACAGCCCTCCCCACCCTGTGCTCCCTGCACGTACGCCTTCTGTCTCTTCTCTTCTCTGCTCCTGTCTCATCTCTCTCTCAGTTGCCCTCAAAAGCTTCTGCTCACCTGCCCTGATTCCTGCCTGTCCCCCTCCCACTGTGCCTTCTTACTGTCCTCTGGGGAAGGAGGGGCACACAACTTGGCCAGTGGAGTCATCTCTGGAAATCTCTGCATCCACACCTAGATCCTTCAGGAGAACGACCAACCTCAGAGCCCAGACCCTCATGCAGCTCAGAGAAGCTGTGCCTCATCTTACCAGGGCTGAGGCGCTTGGCAATATGATGTCATAGGGCCAAGGAGAGTGGTCCACGTCTGGTGTTTCCTTCTGGCTGCAGTTCCTGTAGGAGAACCTAAGCCTTGGCAGCTATGTGGGGACTGAAATATAACAGGCTAACAGATCTAGGTGTGAATCTCTCCTTAGCCACATACTGGCTATATTACTTTGGGCATATTGCTCAGCCCCTCTGAGCCTCAGTTTCCAGCTCTATAAAATGGTGCCAATAGTGCCCATCCAAATAGTGTTCTTGCCAGGTCCAGGAGCACTAAGAGAGGGAAAGCACCCAGTCAAGTATATGACACAAGTAGGATCAGAACAAATGTTAGTGTTTTCCCTTCTAACTTTCCTCAACATCCAGACCAGAACCCTGGAGAAGTTCCAGCAATGGGCAGCAGACTGACGCTCTGTCCTCAGATATGGCATGAGGATCCCACACTTCCTGCTAGCTGCTGGGGTCACTGACCCAGGGACGAAGGAGAGGGGGTTTCCCCCCAGGAGTGATCTAGGCCTAGATGGCTCAGAGGCTGCCACCCACCACACTATTGGGGCTGCCCTCAGCCAGTGCCTAGAGCAGCTTAATCTGGGGGGAAACACCCTCCAACATAGTCCATGGAAACTCAGAGACCCCAAGTACTTTAAGGTGTTAGGGCATCCATTACCTCGTCTATCAAGTGGGGCTCCCAGGCCCATCCCTGCCTGTGATTATCTGCACCCAGGAGCAGCAGATTATCTGCAGGCATAAGGGGCAGCAGGAACTGGGCTCTGGGGCAACGGGGTTACAGAATCTTTGCCTTTAGGGATGCCCAGCCTTGTGGAGAGATGAAGAGGCAAGTTCATCTCCTCTTCTGAGTAGAGAGACTTCCGAGTTCTTCCAGGCAAGTGCAGGGGAGTTCTGGAGTGGTCCCCACCCTAGCTTACAGCACTGAGGGTCAGAGCTATGGCCAGGAGGTCCAGGAGGTGCCTAGAGGAGGCTGGGGCCTCTGTGGCCAACGAGGCCACAGGAGCAAGCACTGAATCTGTGCTTTCCATTCTGTCCTTTGGGGCCCTCAGCAGTGAAGGAGGGAGGGGGTGGGTCCAAGGCTGCACCACTAGTTAGAACTATATCAGGGCCCAGGTCCTGGAGGAGGTTTGGGTGACACCGAAGGGGCATTCCAGGGGGAATAGCAAGTGCAGAATAGAGGGAGAGAAGCAGTAGCCCCAGGGACCACCGAGAGGAGCAGCCTGGCTGCCACAGAGTTAGGGGCTGCCTGATGAAGGGGAAGCTCCTGCCTTGCCTTGCCCTCCAGCCATGGACAGAGTATTTAGAACAGATGGTGCACATGTGGATTAAGTGCTCTCTGTGTGTCTGGCTCGGGGACATCTTTGAGAACCTGGGTGTCTGGACCTCAAGACATAGGACTTTTCCCTACTCCATGTTACATTTTACAGACAGGAACCCAAGAGACCAGACCCTACTGTGTAGCTGGAGGGGAGGGAGCTCCCTGGGTCCTGGCCTCCACTCTGTCTAGTCCCCGCAGGCCTTGGATAGGGCCCGCGGAGAGGCTGACTCGCCTTTCACCTCCCTGGCCTGAGTTTGGGGCTTCGGAGAGGAAACAGCTTGCTGCCCCACCCGCCCTCCAGCCAGCTGGCAAGCGGGGCTCCTGGCTCTTAGGCCTGCCTGTGTGCCCTGGCCTGGGCCTCAGTTTCTCCATGTTCAGTGTGAGAGTGAGGTTGGGTCAGCCGACTGCTCTGTCCTTCAGCAATAGGTGGAGGTACCTGGAGTTGGAGCCAGGAGAAGGGGGCTGGGGCAGCCAGGAGGGCCAGGGCGGAGCACGCTGCAGGTGGGAGAGGCTTTGAGGGAGCTCTGGCCTTCTTCTCTGACCTGTAGCTGCCTGCGGTACAGGGGCAGATCCAAAGCTATGACCCTCCTGAGTTAGGGGGCAGGGGTGTCGAGCTGCCAGGGAGAGGGAAGCCTGTGGGGCTGCCCGTGGGCAGGGGAGTGTGGCCACAAGATGGGGGAGAGGTTTTTCAGGGTATAATTAGTGCACTTTCTGGCACCCACCAAACTTCCCCTTCCTCTTGACAATTTGCTGCCAAAACAGCCCTGATTCCTGTGGACTTGCTTAAATCTTTACCAGAAAAAAAAAAAAAGAAAAAGAAAAAGAAAAGAAAGAAAAAGGGGGGAAAAAACAAGAGGGTTGTTATTTGTAAAATTGCATTTCCCAGCCATGAGGATGAGTCATGCCGTTTGGAGCTTCAAGTTTCTTGTTTGGATGAACTTTTCTCTGGGAGGCCGGGGCGACAGCCGCTGCCCTCCCTTAGGCCAGTTTGGGTGGGGAGAGGCCTAGTGTCAAGTGAAGGAGAGACCCTGGTGTTGCAAAGTCCACGTGCTCCCAAAGCCAGTTGGGGCTGGGCTGGTTGTACCTGAACTGTCCGGGGGAAGCTTTAAAATGCTGCTCTGGGCTGTGGGGAGAGGGAGTGGGGAATTGGTGCTTAATGGGGACAGAGTTTCAGTTTGGGATGATGAAAAAAATCTTGGAGGTGGATGGTGGTGATGGTTGCACAATAATGTGAGTATACTTAATGCCACTAAGTTATACACAATTAAAAATTGTTACAACTTAAAAACTGTAACAATTTAAAAATCGTTAAAATGGTAGACTTTATGTAACGTATATTTTACCACAATAAAATGATGCAGATTCTGGGTCATCAGTCCCAGGGGGCTGTTTTGGTAGTTCTGAGGTGGGGCCTAGAAAATTATTCCCCAGGTCATTCCGTACAAGTCTGGACACACTTGTCTCATCTGTAAATGGGCATAATGACTCATAGGTGGGCATCAGCTACCTTCATGAGGGTAAAGTTTCCAATGCCTGGGACACAGTAGTGCTCAGTATATGTTACTTTTACCATCTAATCCCATTTCCATTGGCACCCTCCCCATGCCTCTTAAGGCTGTATAGTATCTGCTGGAATACCTTCAGGGTGGAGGCCCCCCTGCCTGTCAGGATGGACAGCTTCACTGTGGGCCCTCTGAGAGCTGGAGAGCTGCCCTCAGACTGAACGCAGTTTGGGTGCTGTCTCCTGCTGGTCCTGGGCTTCCTGGCAGCCCTTGGCAGTGGTCGGGCGGAGGTGGTCATTAGGAGCCTTGTGTGCTGTGCCCAGTCCATCGGCTGACTGTGTGTTGGCCCTGGGTGGCCCTGGATCTGGTGTCTGTACCTGTCCTCCCAGATCTCCGTCTCTGGTCCAGACCCACATGAGGGAACAGGCTCAGGGAGGGAAAAGGCTAGCGGAGGGTCATGTACCAGAGTGTCTGGGGAGCCGAGAAGACTAGTTGCATGCAGTGGGAAGGCTGAGTCCCCCAGGAAGGGACTGTCAGACCCCAGAGGTGGGCTGAGTAGGGACTGAGGGATACACGTGGAGGGGCGGGATCCATCCTGGGCAGGGAGGGCTACTGATCGCCTGGGGCCAGCCCTTAGCCCTTCCCACACTGAGGGGACGTAGAAAGGACTGTCCCTGCCCTAGGCCCCTGTGTGCCCCATTTTTGTAAGGGAGCCTGAAGCAGCCTCCTCTCATGGGCGCTTCTCCCCAACAAGGCTGGGGACTACAGAGAGCAAGGTTGTATCTCTCCACTAGACCCAAGGCTCCCCAGGGTCCACAGTTCACTCCTGGAGTTCTCGAGCAGCTAAGCTGGGGCCAGGGGATGTCCAAGCCCCATGCCCAGGTTTGTCAGTGACCTTCCTGGAGAAGCTGCCTCTTTCCAACCTTGGCCTTGCCCCAGGAAAGGGAGCCCATGGCTGTTCCCTGCCAGCCTCACAGGCCCCACCTTTGCTAAATTCCAGTGGGCCTTGCTGCCCATAGCCTGTGACTCCTATAAATAGTGGCTGTATACACTAGGAGGGGGCCTGGGCCGTGTCTGCTTTGAAGCCAGGCAAGACATCTGGTTCCTGTCAACTGGAGGTGGGAGAGGTGGGAGAGGTGGGAGAGGTGGGAGAGGTGGGCCGCTTCCTCCCTGGGCTCCCAGAGAGCGGGCCTGGGCCAGGCTGAGGGCTCCCTGGACACAGTCTGCACAGGCCTAATGCTGCAGGAGACCAGACAAAGCACTCAACTTCAGTCTTTTCTTATGTACAACAGAAACAGTGCTAGAAGCTGATGTTCCTCTTCCTTGTAAGATGGGGAAACTGAGTTAGCTTGGAGATAAGTAACTTGTCTAAAGTCACACCCCCAAGTAAGTGGCAGAGCCCACATTTCAGAAGTTGCTTCTGCTATACCTCCTTACCTCTTGCGGTGTGTAAGGAAGAACTAACAATAACAGTCATCAGCATTGTCATTTACTGAGTGGTACCTAAGTGCCAGCAAGAGATAAAGTGCTTTATGTCTGTGACCTCATATTAGCTTCATAGAAACCCTAGGAGGTAGCTACTGTTATTCTTGTTTCTCAAACAGGGCCGCTGAGGGCCATAGTGGTTAATTGGCTTATGTATGGACACAATTAGAATTAGGATTTGAATCCAGGCTCCAGGGGACCAGAGCCCATGGGCAGCCGAAGGGTCCGTAGGAATTCACATATGTATGTGTGTGTGTGTGTGCATGCGCGTGCACGCATGTGTGCATACATGTATCACCCATGGGAATTCCTGAGGCCACAGCTGCAAATGAGTGTACCCAGGCTCCTAGAGCCCTCACAGCCTCTGTCCCCACAGGCGCTGAGCAGCAGTGTGTACAAGGGGGCCTCACCTTACGGCTCCCTCAACAACATCGCAGATGGCCTCAGCTCCCTCACCGAGCACTTCTCCGACCTGACCCTCACGTCTGAGAGCCGCAAGCCTAGCAAGCGGCCCCCACCCAACTACCTGTGCCACCTGTGCTTTAACAAAGGCCACTACATCAAGGACTGCCCCCAGGTAAGGCGGCCTAGCCCAGGTGGGGCTGAGGGGCCTCTCCTGACCTGTGGACCAGCTTCTGTGGGTACGCAGACCCAGCAGGGTCCCTTCCCCATGGCCTTCTGGTCCCTGTCTTTTTGTCTCCTCTGGCATTTCTGAGGCAAGGCTGGCTGGTGTAGACGGGACAGCCCCAGCCTGGGCCTGAAGTGGCTAGTCAGCAGTCTGGGTGGGAGGCTCCAAATAATGTTCTGGGTCTTCCAGCCCCCCGGTCTTCCTGCTAGGGTGGGCCCCGTTACGGTGGGGCAGGGTGGGGGCCAGTGGTCCCCTCAGCTCTTCTGAGTCCCAATCTCCTCACACTCACAGGGAAGGAATGCAGGCTCTGGGCCAGGGATCCAGATGTGCACCCCCCCAGACCCCACCTCTGCAGCAGCATTTCCTCCTCAGCACACTGTCCGCTGCCTACTGCCCCCAACTTTGTGCCTCCAGGACAAGTCTGGGCGAAGGGACCATGGCATGTCTCCCTCAGGGTGGGGATGGGGCCAGGAGATTGAGGGTGTGTGTTGGGAGCAGCTACCGGCTCTCACCCAGTCTTTTCACCAATGACAGGGCAGGGCCACAGGGGCCATATCCCACTCACAAGATGACCCCTGACTCTGACAGATAGGGCTTGAAATCCTGGGGAGAGAGGTTTAAAGTTGTTTACATGCAGTACAAGATTATCAGTGATTTTTTCTAGTATTTTTTCATATTTTCTAATGTTTTTATAATGTGGTACTACTTTTATTTTATGTATGTAATGGAAATGGAATCCTGGAAACCCAGAAAGTCCATGAAGTCTTACCCTCCCAATGCTGGAAGCCAAGGGTGGGGCTGGGTGGGGCTGGGTCTCATCAGGACCACTGGGAGGCCGAGATGTGCTTGTTGCTCACGGCTCTTCTCAGAAGTGGCCATGCCCTGCTTGAGGTCCTTGCTACTTACAGAGTGGCTGGGCACAGCTGCATCATTGCTGCTGGGAGCTTGTTAGAGATGCAGCATCTCAGGCCTAGCCCTGACCTGTGTTTTAGTAAGATCCCCGGTGGTTTATGTACACCTGTGGTCTCAGCCTCCCCCAACCCCGGGCCCTGAACAGTGGGAGCTAACCCACTGCTGGCTGGCTGTTCTTCAGATCTGCACGCCAGTGGGCTCTGTGTGCCCCTCAATGTACACACGAAGCAAGGGGCCCTTGGCAGGAGATCTCAGCATAGGGTAAGGCACCTGCCCGCCAGGGTTCTCTGTGTGGGACAAGCGGCAAATGGACAGCTGAGGATCTGGTTGCTCCTCAGAGATGTGCCCATGGCCCACCAGTCAGCAGCCCCTTGTGCCCCTCCCCCAGGTGAGCCCCCAGCACAGGAGGCCTCAGCCCTCAGTCATTCACTGCAATTCACAGTTCACAAACTTCCCTGCATCGCCTCCTGCCTGTGAAGTGGGCAGGGCAGGACTTAGCCCCATTTTAGGAGGAGGCAGGCTCTGTGCTGCGTGCTGCCCTCTCATTGTTGCATTAGATGCTCACAACTACCCACTGTGTTCAGTGCTCTTATTAGCCTCCTGTTACATGATGCTTTGCATGAGTCAAGAACTCATACAGGATCATGGAGGCAGTCATTGGAGGGCTGGGATTTTAACCCCGGCAGGGAGATGACAACTCGGACACCAGCGGGTGTGCCCATGCTGGGCTTCCAGCCTGGGAGAGCTTCCAGGAGAGGGAGGGCTTGAGTGGGGCTGGCAGGCTGTTGGTAAAAGGGTGACCAGTACGCAAAGGCAACGGATGGTGAGCCAGGGGTGGAGAGATGGCGAAGGCGTGTTTTAGAGTGTGTGTGCACACACTGTGCTCTCTCCAGACGGGGCCAGTGCTCTTCTCACTGTGGGGGCAGAGGGTCCCTGCCTCGGTGCCTCTCACCAGCACAGTGCTAACCCTGTTTCTTTCTTGATATGGATTACACAGCATGCTCACTCATCTTGTGCTGGGCTGTTAACTATGATGGAAGCAGGAGTGACAGCCATATTTTACAGTTAAAGACAGTCTCAGGTGCAGTGTGGAAGAGAGTGCAGAATGTGTCTGAGAATGCCGGTCTTGGAACCTTAGCGCTCTGCTTCCTTTTACATCCATGCCATGCCCATGCCAGGCTCAGATTTCTATGGCCTATTGAGCCTCAGTTTCGCCCTCGAGCTCGTAGAGGCCCTCTTCTGACTACATCTCAAATCTGATTCTATTTGTGACTCCTGTAGGCCCACGGATCTCCTACCTTTCATGAAAGTTTCATCATCTGTAAAACGAGGCTAATGAGAACACTAACACATAGGACTGTTGGAAGGATTCGATGAAGTAATGCATGGAAAATGTTTAATACATGCCTGGCACCCCATAAGTGCATAATAATTGCTGGCTAGCATTGTTTTTTTTCCCCTGGGTCACAGTGGAGAGTGCACCTACCTGGAAAAGTACTAGTTATTTTGTAAGACTGGAATATTATAGAATGCTCCCCATCCCTCACCTGACCACAGGTTCCAGGGGCATGTGCTGGGTTAGATTCATCTCTGTATCTTCATGCCAGCCCAAGATATGGCACACAGCATGTGCTCAGTACAAGTTTTCCTGAATGAAGGAACATGGAAACCTTTGTTTCAAATGAAATATTATGTAAGAGCTTGGCATATATAATATTTAAAAGTGGAATGCTGCTTTTGCTAACAGCTTTAATGAGACAATTCACATACCATATATTTTACCCATTTGAAGTGTACAAGTCAGTGATTTTTAGTATATTCACAGAGCCATGCAACTGTCACCACAATCAATTACAGACATTTTTGTCACCTCAAAAAGAAGCCTCATACTCTTTAGCTATGACTCGCTAATCCCCAACCCCTAAGGATTGTCAGCCCCAATTAGATTGTCAAACACTAATCTACTTCCTGTCTCTAAAGATTTGCTTATTCTGTACATTCCATATAAATAGAATCATATAATATGTGGTCACTGGATTATTTTGCTTAGCATATTGTTTTCAATGTTCATCGATGTAATAACATTTATCAGTTCCATGATTTGGGAAGTGTTCCATCGTGTTCAATTTTCTAGAACAGTTTGTGAGTATTTAATATTAATCTTTTAAATGTTTGGTAGAATCCACCTGTGAAGCCATCAGAGATTTATCATTCTTTTGTGGGTAGATTTTTTAAAATCACTAATTCAATCTATTCGTTATATAGGTCCATTCAGATTTTCTATTTTTTCTTGAGTCAGTTCCTATAGTTGTATATTTCCAGAATTTGTCTATTTCATCTAAAGTTATCTAATTTATTGGCATACAGTTGTTCTTAATATTCTCTTATAATCCTTTTTATTTCTGTAAGGTCTGTAATAATGTCACTCTCTTTCATTTCAGATTCATATAATTTGAGCTCTTTTTTTTCTTGGTTACTCAGCTAAAGTTTTGTCAATTTTGTTCAGTTTTTTAAGGAACCAACTTTTGGTTTAGTTGATTTCCTGTATTTTCTATTCCCTACTTCATTACTTTCCACTCTAATCTTTCTAAAAATTAGTGGTAAAATTCATATGATGTAAATTTACCACCTTGGTCATTTTTAAATGTACCGTTCAGTGGCATTAAGTACATTCACACTGTTGTGCAACCATCACCACCCTCCATCCACAGAACTCTCTTTATATCTTGCAAAACTGAAACTCTGTACCCATTAAGCAATAACTCCCTATTTTTCCCTCCCCCAACCCCTGGCAACCACCATTCTACTTTCTGTCTCTATGAATCTGACGACTCTAGGTACCTCATGTAAGTGGAGTCACACAGTATTTATCCCTGTATGACTGGCTTATTTCAGTTAGCATAATGACCTCAGAGTTCATCCATGTTTTAGCATGTATCAGAATCACCTTCCTTTTTAAAGGCTGAATTATAGTCCATCGTGTCTGTGTTCATCTGTATGTGTATATATGCACCACATTTTGTTTATCTATTTATCCATCAATGGTCAACTGGATTGCTTCCACTTTTTGGTTTTTGTGAATAATGCGGCTGTGAAAATGGGTAAACAGATATCTCTTTGAGTCCTTGCTTTCAATTTCTCACTCTAATCTTTATTACTTCTTCCTCCATCTTACTTCAGGTTTAGTTTGCTTTTCTTTTTCCAGCTTCTTGAGGTGGAAAGTTAAGTTACTGATTTTACATCTTTCTTTTCTTTTTTATGTAGATGTTTACACCTGTAATTTTTCCTCTGAGCTGCATCCCTTAAGTTTTGGTATGTTGTTTCTTCATTTTCATTTATCACACGGTACTTTCAAATTTCTCTCATGATATCTTCTTTAACCCACTGGTTATGTAGGAGTGTATTGATTAATATCCACCTATCCATGAGTTTCCCAAATATATCTTTTAAATGATTTCTAATTTTATTTCATTGTGGTCAGAGAATATACTTTGTGTTATTTCAATGCTTCTAAATTTATTGTATTTTTCTTCATAGCCTAGCATTTGGGCTATCCCGGAGAACAGTTCATATGCTCTTGAGAAGAAGATATTCTGCTGTTGTGGTGGAATGTTCTATAGATGTCTGTTAGGTCTAGTTGAATTATAATGTCTGTGTCTTCTGTTTCTATTAATGTTCCCCTAGTTCTTCTATCCAGTATTATAAGTAAGGGTATTGAAATATCTATTATTGTTGAATTGGCCATTTTTTAGTTTAATTTGGTCAGTTTTTGCTGCATGTATTTTGGTGTTCTGTTATTAGCTGCACCTGTGTTTACAGTTGCTGTATTTTCCCCATGGATCGATCCTTTTACCATTATAAAATGTCCCTCTTTATCTCCAGTACCATTTTTGTTTTAAAATCTGTTTTATCTGATATTACTGTAGCCAGCTTTCTTACGGTTACTGTTTGTATGATAGATCTTTTTCCATCCTTTTACTTTCAATCTATTAATATGTTTGGATCTAAAGCGCATCTCCTGTAGACAGCATATAGTC